TTTAAATTAATATCTTTAATTTAAAAAAAATTCTCTTAAACGACTGATTCACTCCGAAAAATCAAATTTTAAGTGTTTGAATAACATAAAGTTTTTATTGCAAATAAATTTTTTTCTGTTAAAAAATGCGCATTATCTATGCTGGAGACAAAATGATAAGCTTTATTAAAGTATTAAACATATTTTTATAAAAAGAAACCGATGATTTCTGCCTTTTTCTGTGAAATAGAGCTACCAGCGAGGTCAACGGTTTTTCGACGTTAACATCAAATATTTTTTAAGATTATTCGTTGTTTTTTCATTAAGTATAAAAACATTACGTCATGCTTTTATACATATTCAATAATGCAGTTGATAAACGTATTGAGAATTTAAGAGAACCCCAAGAAAAACGAGCGCAGTATAGCACTACAATGGTGGTATGAAAATATGTTAATAAATTGTATAGATAAAATTATTATAAAAAGTGTGGTAGAAAAACGTCTGAAGAGGGCTAGAACAAATATTGAAGCGTTGATCAAACTATGCTACTAATGAATTATAATCTTACACATAGGCTTTGAGGTAGGAAGCAAAAGGTTTTACTCAAAACCCAATAACCTATCTTTAAATGGGAGTTATATGATGTTGTATAACTACGTTATTTTTAGTCCTAATTAATAGGTCACATGATTCCATACTTTAAAAAGTAACATGTATTGTATATAAATATTTCTGTGAGAAGAAATAGAACTTTCGAAATAAAAAAGTAACATGTATAAATTTAAATAAAACATAAATGAAATAAATTCAAACAAAACAATGAGCTGCATTAAAAAAAATAATCTGCAGAAAGTTGGAATCGATCCCGTGATAGCAAAACAATTCGAGTGGCGGCATAAGCATCAAGCAACTTAGCTACCGAAACTTTGGTCCTTAGGAATCTGAAAGCCATTTATATTTATTAATAACCTTCGGAGCTTGTCCTACAGTTTCTCATTTTTATTTTTGCATCTTGATAACGTGACGTATTACTTACTATGCAAAAACAACGGTTTTCTTAAAAATAATCCAATATTATTAAAACTTTGACTTTAAGATTTAGTTATTGTTGTAGAAAACACCAAGATTAAAGAAAATTTGTTTCTGTATAAAATAAAAGGTAATGATGATGAATTAGAAAATATTCTATCAATTAAACGAACATCAATATAACGTTTTGGAATACGAAACAATGTCCAAAAATTGATGATTTAAGACATTCTTGTACAATAGTGCTTCAATTTTTATTTTCCAAAACTGAAAGAATCTGTCTAAAATCTCCTCTTTAAACAATTACCAAAACGGATTTTTGCACTTCGTAAACCGCGTAATGTTCTTTTAACCATTTCCAAGGCTTTCTTTAGGATTATAGAAGCCTTGTCTCATATAGTTAAATCTAGTTCTTTCAATTTTTTTTTAAGATTGAAATTCCAAGAACGTACTTTTTGTATCGTTTAAGTCTAATGGTAATTTTACTCTCGCATGATCAATTGTATCTTGCTTTATCAAGATGCAAAGTTATAATAGATTATCCATTCAAATTAATCTTGATAATAAATTAGGAATAAAAAGTATAGTTTTGAAAGAATTCTTATTTTTTTGATTAAATTGCATTTCATAAACAAATTTTATGGAATAATTTCATCTTCAAATTTTTCTAACAGCTTAAGTATAATTCAAATGGTAAATAAAATATTTCTTTTTCAAAGTAAAAATTTTAGACTCAAAGTTACTTATAACAAACTTTTTTGTTCTTGTACATGAACTGCTTGATAAAAACAAAAGAAATGGAGTAATTCAGTAAACTTAACTAAATGATTTAAATTGCCTTATCGCAAAAAGTAAAACTAATGGCGAGAACTGTTATTTAGATATTCAAATGGTTTATTTATTGTATATTGCAATAGCATAGTTCTATTATGTAATAGAATTATGCTTTCTCAATAATAGAATTAATATACTTATTGATAATTTAATAAAAAGTAACCAGCACGCCATTAGCAATATCCCATTGGTGGTGAGGTAATTTGCTGAACATTTTATTTGTGTAAATTGTACATGATCATTTTATTTAAGATAACAAAGAATCGTAACCAATTTTTTAACGAAAGTTTCTACCAATCGAGGGCATTGGAAAGTTTAAAAAAATCGGAACCTGATTATAATAATATTGATATATTCGCCTTTCGCGTTCGCTATGATAGCTTGTTTTTGTAATTTCTTGTTTTTTGTGTACACCATTTTTATTTATATCTGTTCTATTTGTTCACTTATTTTTTTCGAAAAAAAAATGTTTTTAATTTTATTTTACTATTTGTGAAGCTACAAATTCTCAGTGTTTCATTAAAAATTGTAATGTTCATAAAAGCTTGCAAATTTCATTTTTNATTAATTATTCAAAAAGTTTAAAACCGATCTTGTTAAAACTCTGTGCATTTGTTTACATCAATATAAGTAACCATTTTGAAGAACTTCAGAAACCTAAAATAAGTTGTTTATTAGACATTTAATGTCAAAACAAACATTACTTTTGTAACTTCGATAGTTATAAGCTGATAAATAATTACACTGAGGAACTTTTATCAGGTCTGAACAATTTTAGCAATTAAGTAATGAACGAAAAAGTATGTAATAAAGTAAAGCAAAAAAATCAAAAAAAGAGATATTAAGCAAAATGTTAGAAAAAATTTTTTTTCTTAGAACGTATCTATGTGAAAACAAAAAGCTGACGCTATACAAGTTTAATTCAATGATAAATAATTAAAAGTTTTAATGGAGTCAAGGATGAGAACAAATACAACTATAATAGCGAAACTGACGTTGTAAGGTAAGGATCATTTTTTAGTTGCAATTAATGCATATTTAAAAGATAGTTAATGGTTTTAAACTTTCTATAACGGGGTTATGAGGGCTTAAAATGAATTTTTAGACACTGTGGAATTTCAAAACTCGAAGGGTTCAGTGAAAAATAAATCTTCAAGGTAGTTTGCTTAGGTTTTAACATAATACATCTACGTTGGTCTTAATAAAATCGTAAAATTTAGAGGTACACTTCAGAATCTATACAGTAGTAAAGCAGATGTTATCGTTTTTGTAGCTTAAAAATTTGAGTAAAATAAAACAATGTCATAACTTAATTTACTTACTGCATCCTTATTTGCATTAACTTGTTTATTCATTTCTTCGATCTTGACCCGAGTATCTGCATCAATTTTAGCAGCTACATCTTCTTTTGAACCCATATGCTGAAAAGTAAGAACGACTGTAGAAAATTAAATGAACGAGCTATTGAGATTAAAATTTTTTTTTTGGGTCTTAATCAAAAACAATTTATTTTATAACGTGAAAAAAATATACAAGTTTTGAACGTCATTTTAAAAAGCTTTTTTGTCAGCTTATAGTATTAGTATCAATATTTCGCGTATAACTATTAAAGGGTGTTAACGTATTCTGTGTTTCTAATCTCTACCTTCCTTGTTGTTTTTCCCGTAATTATTATCCACTATTTCTTCTAGAATGTGAGTCTTTCGTGCGGGCCCCTTGCAAAGTTCCAATGAGACGACTCGGTTATTTATACTATTGGGTAGTACTTGCACGGCGCGTTGACTGTCTCAAGCACACCCCAGCTATTATCAAGTTTAAAGGAAGGATCTTTTCGAATAAACCATTTAACTCGCTATAAAGAACTTTTTATAACCGACAGTGACTTTGCCCAATGAGCAGACCAGGTGTTGGCTTTTCCTTTAAAAAGGAAGCCCCTGGAGATTAAGACATTACCAGAATAATCGACTATTTATTTTTAAAAATCGGATAATGATGTTTCAGCATCCTGAGTACTTTTCCCATCAAAAATCCCGAGAAAAAAGTCTCGATTATTTTCGATGGGATTTAAACCCATGACCCCTTGAATTTCTCGGGCTAGGACGTTCGCACGCTAACCACTTAGGCATTGAAGCTGTCGTCAGCTTATAAATAATAACTTAAAAGTATCTGGCTTGAAAGCGACTAATCAGGAGTATCAAGGATAACTTTTATATTTTTTTATTGCTTCACACTAAAATATTAAAGGAAAAAATATACAAGTCTTCTAAATTCTAAATAGACTTTAAAATAACATGCTAGATAAAATACAAAACTAAAAATCAATGTCCAATGATAGTTAATTAATCCTCACTGTATATAAAATTTCGTTCAATACTTGGTTGTTAAAAAGCAGTAATTTACGAGAGTATCAAGTGAATGGAAGTTATAGCAAATGAGAGAATAAAAACAGCACCAACAATTTGTAATTAAGTAACGTCCTTTTTGACTTGAATCAATCAAGACACCGGTTAACATGTGAGTGCAAGAGAAAATAGGCTTTTTCTGACACACGCATACAGACACCCACACACTTCTTACTGTATTGTATAATTGTAAGGATATTACTAGTGGCTAGGCCACTAGCCTCCCTTTTCTTTCTCCGTAATTCTATAAATCAGGTGATTATTGATACGTTTTTTTCATTATACATCAAGAACTCACTACAGATTTAAGTACCGAGTAACTGACTAAATTTTTAGTATAAAAGGATCCAAACCCATAACTACAATAGGCTACAAAAATCCTGACTTTTCAGAAGCTGAACTAAGGAAGATGATGGCTTTATGCGTAGAAATTTTCAGGTTTGGCCAAATTTTCGCTAAACTTCATGTGACCAACGTTTGGCCAAACGTTGGCTGAACCTGGCAATGAGAAAATCTCAAACTTGGATTTTTTCTGACATTTTTGACTTAAGTTTAGCCAATGTTCATTCAAACTTCTAACAAATTAATTTAATACTTTAACATATAAGTAGACTGCATATGCGACATATTGAAAAAGTTGCGCAATAGATGGTCTCAAACCTCGGCAACGAAGATTCCGCGTACGACACAAGCACGCTTAACCACTCGGCTATGACGAGAGAATATAAGGTATAACACGAATCGTTTACATATCGTACCAATACTATAATTTTTTTAAAGTCATGTTATTAAATTGACTTTACAATTTTTCTGAAAAATTTTTTAAGTGAATTTATTCAGTTACAATTAATTGTATATTAAAAAATATTTCCTTAGCGTATTTCGTCAAGCATGTGATCTACAATAAACGTTTTGATCATGTTAAATCGGCCAATTTTAGGTGTGCTTTTATTGTTTTACATACAATGAATTGTAGCCAAACAAATTCAGGTAAACATTTTTTTTAGAAAAATTGTTAAGTTTATTGAATAACATGACCTAAAAAAAATTATAGTATTGGTACGATATGTAGACGATTTGTGTTATACCCTCTACCATCTCGTTATAGCCGAATGGTTAAGCATGATTGTGTTGCACGCGGAGTCTCGGTGGCCAAGGTTCGAGACCATCTCCTGCACGACTTTTTCGATATGTCGTACATGCAGTCTAGTTATATGTCAAAGTATTAAATTCATTTTTTAGAAGTTTGGATGAACATTGGCTAAACTTGAGTTAAATATTCCAGCAAAAATCAAAGTTTGGGATTTTCTTATTGTCCATGTTTAGCCAACGTTTGGCCAAACATGAACTTTGGCAAGAGTTCAGTCAAACGTAAAAATTTCTACGCGGGTTGCAATACAAAATTAGGAAAAAGTGTAACTTTCCTTTCAAGCTTGTTTAACTTAACCAAATATAGTAAAAAATGTGTCAGAACTTGATTGTAACTGCATGTAAAAATCTTAATACTAGAATGATTAGGAAAAAGGTTTTTAGGAATCGCAATCTTCTGAAAATTTTGAATTTTTGTTGATCCTATTACTTTGTACGTACATTTTAATAGCTTTTACCGTACGTTTTTGGACTAATGCTTTTAAGTACAAAAAAACTTAATTTTTACTGAAGTATGTAACAATAAGACAGTAATAAATTTTTAAAGTAAAATACAAAATCTTTGAGTAGAACAAGTATAACTAACATCAGTAACATATATAAGCAGCAAAAAGTTATTATACAGGTATAGGCAACGACACTATGGAACTAGCGAATTGGCGAGCTCAGCCCAGTCAGCTCTAGGGAGAAGAGCCTATAGTCAATCATAAATAGAAGCGTGTTTTCTTGAAATGGAACTGCAACAGGGCTTTAAACTTTTGGTAAAAGGGTTAAATATTTTCTGATAAATAAAAATTTAAGTGTAACAACAAAGGGAATAGCTTAAATAAATAAAAAAATTCAACACAAATATACAGACTAGTTTTATTACCTTCAAAAAAAAGGAGCTAAAAAAAAAGTTAATCATTCTAATATAAGGGAGTACTGAAGCATAAATTAAAATAAAAGTAGAGCTAAGTTGAAGATATTAAAGCTTTTTGTACTTTATTGTTTATCAAATTATAGTAATTTTTCAGAATAGTTATGTTCTTGATTATGCGTATGATGTAACATACAACAAATGCACTTAAATATAATAAACTTAATTATTGCTCTTCAAGTTTACCCTAACTAAAATATAACAAGAAATTATTTTATAGCTTGTTATAACACACACGAACTTTGATCGACAGGTTAATACGTAAAACTTTATTCTAATGTATCAAAACTGATACTTTTTATGATGTACTAGTTGCACTATACTGCAGTTTACGTACATATATACACAAACACATACACACGCATAATCTATAATTATATGCTTGCAGTAAGTGCTTAACTTCATTAATAAAATCGCAATTATTTAACTTTTTTTGTAAAATATAGTGTTTTTAGGTTTCGTCTTTTGCTATACGTAATGATAGTTTCAATTTAATTCTTCACAAAAGAATGACATTTAGTTTGGATATTATAAAGTAGCTAAACACTCCCACCTACCACCATCTATCTATTGCCACCTCTGGCATGATTTTCATACTGAGCTTGAATTTATATTTTCAGCCACCCTTATTCACCATTTGCTTATTCTTTGCCACCCCTCCACCAAACCGGTAGATATTTTCACCACCTTATAGTATAATGAAATCAAGAATAGTATGACCGACAAAATTGTAGAAGCTACCGCAACATTATCATAGTATAGTACTAGGATTTGTATAGATTGGACAGTTATGTATAATATAGTATAGTATAGCTTTATTTCCATGTATAGATTTTACAATCTTTTAACATAAATTATTTCCCCACACAACAGTCCCGTGTGTTACAAACAATCGCTTTTTCTAACTTATGAGATAAGAATTTACAACTTACATTGCTAATTTACAAAACAAAATTGAACATTGTCCCCTTAAATATCGATTCGTATTTCTCCTATTCTTTCCCTGTTCTTGATCTGGCCAGTCTTTCAAATTTTCTGCTATATTTACACATCCCCTCCTTCAGTTCCCCCTTTAACAGCGTAATAAGTCTTTGCCTAACTATTTCCTCCTGAACTCCTAGTCCTAAATTTTCAGCCTCGATTGTCAATTCTTCCTTTATTTCTTTTCTTCCTGTTTTGCAAATGAAAATATGTTATAGTTTTTCTTGTTCTATACCGCAAACCCTACAGTTCACGTTTTGGAACCCTTTATTACCTGCCTTGCCTATGTTCCCGCATCTCAACCTTGCCCACTGCTCTTTAATTTTCCCTTCAAACTCTGTATCATCCTAATAACTCTCGATGCCTAGTCTCTCTTTTATATATTTGTAGGAGTTACAGTATTACCTGTCAATTCTGTTCCAGTCCATTTGCGTTTCCTAATCTACTTTAATTTTTAATCCCCTCCTCATCTTTTCCCTAAATTGCAGTGTCCCCTGATCTTCAAACAGATCTGATATTCCCTACCCATCTCCCATTTCTTTGAATGCCTCCTCTATACTTTTGCCCCACTTTATAGCATTTTTGTTCCTGATTTCCCTTATCTCTTTCTTCAGACAGATTTTCGGCCACCTATCGTCCTCTATTCACTTTATTTCCCTAATGTAGTTGACCACTCTTCTTTTCGTTTCTATTTCTAAGCTGTGTCTATTCGCCTCTCTTTTCCAAATATATGCTGGCGTGTTAACATTTTTTCCCACTGACATTTTAACGAATTTTCCTTGCACCTTCTCGATTTGCTCCCATCTTTCCCATCCCTATATTTCCGCTCCGCATAAGCAACCTGCCTTAATTATCATGTCCAAAAGGTATAGTCTCTCTTTCAAATCACCTAATTTCACCCTTTTCCACACTCCCCATACTGTGTTGATTGCTTTTCTTATCCCATTGGCTGCCTTTTTGATATGTGTGC